TTAGACAATCAAAATCAAAGATTTGGGACGACTCTTAAAAGATCAACTCCTTTTTTAATGTTCAATTGCAGTAACACAATCTTTGTATAATTAATGCATTTATTAAAAGAAGGAATATCTTATGTGGTTGCTGGTGCCCCATCAGTAATATGGGGGAAATGTCAAAATTTACAAACTAATTGAGTTGTCAACCTTCGCTTAGTTCATTTGTTAACAATGTAATTATCAGAAAAGTGTTTTCGGGATGTTATAGTAGTTTAATAGTTGAGTTCATGAGTCAATTGAAGCTAGATCACTATGGAAAACCTGGTAGCATTGGATGTCCTTTTCATCCCAGGACGAGACACCTCAGCAGTGAGCATTCACGATACCGCCTCACGGGATTTGAAACCAGGACCTATCGGTCTCGCGTGCAAGCGCTTAACCTCTAGATAACTGAGCCGGCCGACATCCAACGGTGTCGGTGTCTAAATTCAACCAATACCCGACATTACGCCACCATCCCCCATTGTCTTCAGCAATTTACTATCTCGCAATAGATCCGGTATAACCACCGGTCACTGCGTCTCACTAGAACTTCAGGAAATACCTCTTGAAGCCAGTCATCGAAAGATCCTGAGTTTGGATCCTGCTGGTTAGGATCGTGGATGCGCACTGCTGAAGTGTCCTACATTGGGATGAGACGGCCGTACAGTGCTTCCAAGTTTTCCATGGTGGTCTAGCTTCAATTAACTCATGTACTCAACTATTAAACAATGTAATTATTTTTAAAGCCAAGGCTATTTACTCCATTCCGAAAACCATCTCTACTAATTAATGCCCTCAAACTAACTCTTCATCTCTTCTTTCCTGAACTAACTTTAAGCACTCATTTTTATGTATTCGAAATACTAAATGTAAATCCATGATTTCATTAGACTAATGAAAATAATTAGAGTTTCATACAGCGATGAATTTACATCAAGAATACTTTAAAGTTTGAAATAATCAGTGAGTGGGTGATTGTGTTAAGGCATAGTCATACCACTGAAAATGCACCTGATATTTGAGATAGATGAAGTTATCTGGTTGAATATCATGAAAATTACCTAAGAAATCCTCCCTATCACCTGATACGAATAATCTTAAACAGATTATATCCATCAATAGGAAATTAGGTAGTTTCCATTTACCAAGCAATATCATCTTGAAGAGAGCAAGAACGAAGATTTGAGCAGAATAGCATGAATTCATCTTATTTCACTTGGTTATCATCAGCTGCTTACAACCTGTAATATTTAAAAATGAGTTTAAATTACTTACATGAAGTTGCTATGACTACACATCAGTGTAATATATCCAGAGTGATAGATTGAATAAAATATTTTAAATATATATCGTATCTGAAAGAAATATCTGCAATATTGATAATAACAAAAGTTCAAAGGGCTAGGATCAAGTGGTTACATAATGAACAAATGCTGATAGGAATGAATAAAGCTCAGTTAGTTAAAATAAGATTAATAATCTAGAAGACGATTTTAATAAAAAGATATAATGATGTAAGTAATTTAAAGAATGAGATTGACAAAATCTTGTACTGTGATGAAGTGATGTTTGTCACCAAGGTAAATAAAGATTAATAACTATCTCCTTTTGAACACATATATCAGGTTTCTGACGCTTGATAACGATTGTTCCAGTTAAATTCAAGAACCGGAGCTTGGTTGTTTATTAGTCATCGTGAATAGTTTCAAGGTATCAACCTATGTCAAAGAGATGTTTAGTGATTGTCCCATTTAAAACAGTACTTTATCTTAATCGAAGGATTTTTGATATACGATCAAAGAAACTAAGATGTGCTCCTTTTTGTTCGGCCAGTGCAGTTAGCTTGGCAGGTACATACAGTTGCGGTAACATGAAAACGCACTTGTTGACTTTTAATTGGGTTATTTAAAATGTTTTATACAGAATCAATAGTTTGTTTGCAGAATAGTTTCTGGCTAATGCATTGTTAATCTTTCCGCCTCTTGACGTCATCACCTTTGAAGGTGAAACTCGTAAATCTTGGTTTTTCATTGACCGCAGGTTCTTACATTGTTTTGCATTCAGCTTTCTCACATTTATTGGTGAATTTACAGGGGTAGCAGTTGTCTCTCAGACATTTTTCATCAATTCTTCTTCCAGTACATATCCTTTCTACTCTATAAAATAGTGTTTTGGCTAATGCTCTCTTGAAACTGATTGAACAAAAACTGTTGAAGTCCAAGAAAAGATCATTCCAAGTACTTTTTCAATAGATTGAACATCGAACTGTCTCATCTGTTCTCTGTTATATGGCAGAGTTAAGAGTAATATGTCATTTTTTTCGTGTTCCATAGTAAATTGTGTGTTGTTTTGTTGAAGAGTTCTAGCAGGTAAATTGTGTGCTAATAAATGTTCCAAACAATAAACGTATCATCGACATATCTAAAGTATTCAGTAATTTTATGAGTCGCTTGTTTAAACTCCATGTATTTAATATTGCCCACAAAAATATATGCCGTAACTGAACCTAGTAGACTTGCGACTGCTATCTCACCGATTTGACAGCATATAGTGTAACTGAACTGAAATTGAACGTCTTTTTTGAACATAAGTAGCAGTTGTTTAAATTCTGGCAGATAAATAAGGGAGATTAGAACACTGACGAAAAATGTCAAAGATTTCAAGAGGTGATATTTCAGTGAACGAGTTTGTTAAATTTAAGGAAACCACAGGGCTATCAAAAACATTCATATGTTTTATTCTGTCAGCAAATTCTAATGAATCTCGAATGTATATGCTGCTAAACGCTGAAGGACTGGTTCTAGCCTGTCTGCAAACGGCGTGCAACTTTTTGGGCAAGGTGAGTCAACCATTGACAGGATAGGCCTAAGGGTAAAATCATATTTGCGCACCACTGATAGGCCATACATATGAGTCAGATGTCAGACAAAACGCCTTAGATCACTGTTGATTTAGCGATTATTTTATTCCTTAGATAGTTTTCTAAGAATACTGGTGATTTTTTGTCTGTTGAATCCTTATCGCATTTGTCTAGAATGAGTCTCAGTTAGCCATCTAAAATTGACTTCATCTCGGTGATGTAATCAGCTGTGTTTACTAGGACAATAACTAGACGTTTATTCGGACATAAAATCATCACTTCGTAATTTGCTTAGTGTTTCATAGTGCTGTTGGGTGTCTTTTAGATAGGATATTCGGCTTTGACATCAGTGAAATGAAATATTGACTGGCAAAATCAATTAGCTCTGGTTTGAATCAGCCTTTCCTTCCCCCATTCACTAGATGCATTTCTTTTACCGGGTCAAATGAATTTTGAATTAAGCCTCCGTATCAATCTTGTCAGTACTTGTTTTTAGTATGAAAAATTTAAGTCTCAATGAAAGGGCTTTTGTTTTTATATTACTCAGCTTGGTATTCCACAAGTTATAAATAAACTTCGAACGGTTTTTCGAAAAACTTCCATCTGGTTGTTCTTTTATTTGAGGTTGCTATTCTACCCAAATCTTTGTTCTTACTCTCTTAAAGGTGATAAATGGAACTATATATATGAAATATCAGTTTAATAAAAAAATTATGCTCCAAACTGAGAAAACGTTATTTCAGATTTTGGAGCATATCGCTATTTAAATAGCTTTTAACTGCAGGAACTCGTTATGATGTGAAGTTTCCGAGAGTTGATGCTGATATGTAGCTTCCCCATACAAGAGGGTAACCGGCTATTGGAGTGAAAAAAACATTTGTGCACCCATTCACAATATATATGTCCTTTATAAAACCAAACCCACATTAGTGTCTTATCTTTTAGAAATGGAAGTCATTTCTTGGCCAATCATAAGGCCGATTTCTGATTTACCCAATGTTTTACTCGTTATTTTGGAATGCCAACAGTTACTTAAAATTGATGATGTTAGTTTTCGGAATACAGTTCACTGATTTAAAAGTTTCAGGTGAAAAGTTTAGAGTTTATATGTTATATAAACATAAACCATTGTAGAAACCGAGATTATAATAATCATCTTATGACTCAAACAATTATATAATTTGCTCTCAATAAGGTTAAATAATATTGCTTTGTATTAGAAATCAGCTAAAATGAGTAATATAAAAATTGAAACTAATACCTTCTGGATAGAATTTCACAGACATGTTTCAACGTATTTTGCTCCGTCCTATATGGATAGAAAAATCTTTAAGTTATAACAAAATAAAATAACGAAGGAACGCATCGAGCGGAGAAATGTCGCTTCATTAGTTGAGCTCATAAGCGATTGAAGATAGACCACCATTGAAAACTTGGAAGTACTGAACCGACGTCTCGTCATTGTATGGGATTCCCAGAATTGCGCATACACGATCAGGCTCGCGGGATCCGAACGCAGGGCCTTCAGTCTAGCACGTGAACGCTTAATCTTTAAACCACTGAGCCTGTATCCAACGCTGTTAATGTCTAATTTCAACCAATCCACGGAATTACGCCACAGTCTACCATTATCTTCAGTGATTTACTATCTCACAACAGGTTCAATTGAACTCCACTTTTGAGGAGTTCTATACTAGTATAGTGTCGGTTACTATGTTAAGCCCATATAAGTTATTCTAGCTTCGGGACAGGCCAATTTATTCCTTCTTCTTGAGTCACTTTTTGACCTTGTTAATTACTCACTTATCAACCTTGATTATTTTTATATGAGCGCATGTGTGCGTACATCTTATCTTATCACATATCTGTAGCCTATTTTCGTATCACTATAAATATGGATTAACGACTGATTAAATGAAGTTGGCTCACATGCCTTCTCCACTGCGCATCAGTTCGCTTCTCTTCCTTCCCTTCGTCCCTTTGGTTGCCTGTTCAGATCAATGATTTTAAAAATTATACTTATTTAATTCCGTTATTCACCAACGCGAATTAAGTCGATTATTATATACGATGATTGGCGACATATATATTTCGACATGTATGTCTCATTTACGATTAATCATACGATAAAATTGGATTCAGATCCCGGGCCACTAAACTAGGACGAAACAAGCTTTCAGTGCTTCCAGGTTTTCAGCGGTGGTTTATCGTCAATGGACTCATGAATTCAACTATTTAATTGCTATAATATCCACAAAACCTCTTTCTGATTATTGTTTCATTTTTGTAAATCATATATATATTAGTGTAGAGCCATGATGAGCGAAATTCCTTCGCTCAATTTATTCCTTCATTACTTACCAAATGTCTATATGGGAATTTTCAAAATAGAATAAAGTGATTATTTGATTATTTCTATTATTGATGACAATTTTTAATGAACAGCATTTGACAAATGGTTAATTTTTTCATGAAACATGTGACTTAATATAATTCATGTTAGATATTTGATGGTAAGTGTCTATTGTTATTATTATAATCAGAGAGGGGTTTCGTGGATATTATAGTAATTTAATATCACCATAGGGTTGTGGAGATTATTAAATTTTTGACTGAGATCATGAACCGATTGATGTTAGACCATCATTGAAAACCTGAAAGCAATGAATGACCATTTCGTCTTATTGTAGGACTCTTCATGAGGGTGAGTCTATTATCCTGCCTCACGAGATTCAAATTAGTTGAAATTAGATATTAACGCCGTTGGATGCTGGCTAATTCAATGGTTAAGCACTCTCAAGCAAGACTGATATATCCTGGGTTCAAATCTCTCAAGATAGGATAATGGATTTCCTTAATTGCTAAACCAATATTTGTATAAACAAACTACTATTATTAGATTCATTCAAGTTAACGTGTTTTATTTGAACATATCAATTGATATCTTGTAATAAACAGACCAATAAGAATAGAAGATTATTATATAATTATTGATCAATGATTTGAATTACAAATCAAAATTCAATATCTAATATCTTAATTTTGATTGGTCTAAATAAATATAACATGATTCCATAATCACTTTGGTTATATATATAAATTTGTAATGGCTAAATTGTTTAGACAAAATTGAAGTATTCTGTTGTACGTCTTTGTATAGGTAAATGAATGTTTAGATTATAATATAAAATCATAATTGTCTATCGTTTATTTATTTATGGGTAATTTATATGAAACATTCAAATTTATTAACTATAATCTTTCATTGAAGTAGAAAGTTACTAATTTCAGTAGTAATTTAGATAGGTACTATAAGATCACTTCGGATATATTCAGATATTAATCAAAGGAATACTTTCTATCTTTATTTAGATCAACTTGGAACCAGTTGATAATCATTTAAGATATTCAAAGATGTTCTGATACAAAACACTGTAGACATGTTTTAGTTGTAACTTAAATTTCTTCAGTTAGATGGTGGTTGGAGGTAGTCGACAGGAAACCCTGGACCAGAGTTTCGTGCTACTTGACACTCGTCAGCAAGCTGTACACCTGTAATCTTGAGGGAACTTGTGCTCCTTGACAGACATGACACATGACATTGATCATCACCCAGTGATCAATCAATTGTGATTAAATTTCGTCAGTGTTTGTATGAATCATCTAGTAAGCTAGATTTGAGAAACACAGATTATCTTTGTGGTCATTAAACCATCATTAAAACTTACTGTTGAACTGATTTCTTAATATAGATTATATCATAACTTTACAATTTAACCTCTATGATTATGATTAGTTGTCTTAAAATTATATTTTCACCACAGATTCTACTCTTGATATATTTATTTATTCCTAAACAGAGATCCACTACCGTTGAATTTAACGAAAAATGGCTGGAAATTTAGGATTTAATGTTGGATCATGTGGTTCACAAGTAAGTTGATTTATATCTTAATTGATGTTATTTTTATTAGAATCATACCTTATGATTTCACTTGGTATTGTTTGACTTGTATCTTCCCATTGAGGTTAAAGACTGCAGTTGATCAGTCTGTTAACGGCATATGTGCATACTGTGCGTATGCTTCGATATTGCCTTAATCCACAGGCTTTTTATAAGCAATGATGGATAGTGCCTAGCAGTGGAAAAGGACGAAACGCGCGTCCTAGATTCCACTGCTAGCCACTATCCATCATTGCTTACAAAAAACATACCTTATCATGTTTATTGCTAGTTAGTTTATTGACTTAATCATTTAAAAAAATCTTGTTTCGCCATTTCCCTGAAATCTGACTTTCAATTCATTAACATAATGATGTATAACTCATTTGTTGGTAGGTGATCTTCACCTCAGATTGATTTCATTTAAGATATCATTGAAAACCAAAGAATACAGGACAGTTGTTTTACACTGTTTCAGAATTTCTCAGTAGTGTTCAACTTCCATTTGACTAAGGCTCTCTCAATGAACGCCTAACCGCTAGGATCACGGGTTCAAGTTCCAAAAATACAACTTTTACCACTACCGATTTGCGACACAGTATAATGATCATTTAACTCAATTGATGATAACTGTTTCACCTTTTACATGTTTGAAAATCTGCTAATCATGACGTCGAACTGGAACTACAGAAATATATCGAAGTAAATCACTAGTGAACTGACCAATACATGTTTAAGTATAACTCATTCATCAAGCGTAAGGTTATACACCCAGCTTTGAATGACACAATCTGTCTGAAGGTTATGGATAGGATCCGAATTATAAAAATGAGCTAGATGGGATGGAATTAAAAACTCGATCCCAGTAGTGAAAATACGAACATTATGGTCATTATGTCATTGCTATACCTTTTATTTATCATCTTTATTAGCTCATATAAACATCACGGATTTGTAGAAGAATCTTTCGAGATATTAGTTTTTGTAGATATCTAGGGGTTTATCTGAATGATCTTGTTATTCAGTGAATGGTTACTAATAATGTTTCATGTCGATGAAAACATATGGCAGTATTAAAAATACATTATTATTAGCTGATGTTTAGTGTTTTTTGTGCAAGGTTAACGTTTAATATGCCTTTGAATTGACCTTAAATTATGATCTTAACAATGTTGATTTAAAATACAAAATATTCCAATCAATACGAAATTTACCGACATGTTAAATCGAATTGATGAAATCATGACAGACGTTTGAAACGAACGGTACTTGGTTCGAATGCCAAAGTACGCATCAACTCTGAGATGCAGGTACATCCATCTGATGAGTTTTAAATAGGACGAAACGCGCGTCCTGGATTCCACTGCCAGTCACTATCCATCTTTGCCTATAGACAACTAATCAATTCTTACAATTAGGGATTCATTTATTTTATAATTATCGTAAAAAACACTATTTATGCAATTTTCTCTTTTGCAATATCATTTGATCCCAACAAAAAAACGTTCCAGTAGTTGCAACTATTTAACTGATCTCCAATACAACTATAATAATGCTTATTCTATAGGCACGAATAAATATGTCTGCAATCTGGGACAGTTCTATGCCACATCCCATACTTTAATCTATACCATTAACTCCCAATATCATATATATGCTACTTCTATGATAAAGTATTACTTTCATATATTTTGTATACTATAATTGGTCATAAATCAGTCATATGGAGAAGCGAAGTAAAAATCCAAATATAAATTTTGTTTCATAGTTCCTCATCTCACAATGTTTCTGTATGAGCATCACTACTGGGATACAGATGCATTCAAATGTCAAGTCTCAGATCGTACAAAACATTGCTAGTCACTATCCAGTTCTGCTTGAAATAAATAATTCTTAAAAGATCTCATGATATATTGTATATTAGCTTCATATGTGTAGATCAGTTGAAACTTGTTTTTTGTCACAAATCAGTCTATTGAGGAAATATTGAGAAATATCTTGTACTTAACATCTGTTTCTTTCACTTTTTGGACTTTGCAACAGTATTCACTCTTGATCTAACAAAGGATTGAACGCATTAGCTTCAAGCTCTATGGCTAGTATGGGATATTTCATATCACTAAGTTGAAATCTAGTAATCTAAATTTTCTTAATGTTTCTTACTTTTGTTTGTTTGGTTTAATTACTTTTAGTTACATCCAACTGTAATGCCTGCATCAAATTTCAATCCAGAAAATGATTGTGAACGCTTAAGAAATGCTATGGCAGGATTAGGGACAAATGAAAAAGAATTAATTGAAGTATTTAGTCATCGTTCTGCAGATCAACGTGCAGTTCTTGTAAAAAAATATAAATCAATGTTTGGCAAAGATTTAATTGAAAATTTTAAATCTGAACTTAGTGGACACTTTTATGATACTATGGAAGCATTGTGTTTAAGTTCATCAGAATTCGATGCCCGTGAATTATACAGAGCAATGAAAGGAGCTGGTACAAATGATTCTGTATTGATTGAAATTCTATGTACTCGAACAAATTATCAATTGAAGAAGATAAAGGAAGCTTATAAACGTAAGTAAAATATAAAATTTTGATAATATCTCACTGAAAAATTCCCCTGTTTACTATTTTTTAAAGTTGAACTTTGTATCATTTTCACTTGTCTCAAAGTGCTTGGATAATTGGTAAACATTATCATACGTTTTCTGTTAATTGTCTCGCAATATTGAATACGATATTCTATCATACTTAAATATCAAATCGATTAAGTCAGTACCCATACTACATACATTTTTTGCTGGATTCAAATTATTGTCCAGGACTTGTCAATAGCACTAAATAAACCCGTTCAAGATTTAAATAGCAGTTACGAATGTAACGCATAGTTATATGCTGTCTAATCTTCTAAGAATATGAGTTTCTTCAAAGAAACGGATACTCCTTATTGATAACTATTAACATGCAACAAATCCATATATACGACTCTCTACAAATTACCTCCAAGTACCTTACGTCTTAGTCTTTTAATAAAGAACAGTAAAACTCTTTTAGGTAATTTTGTGGTTCTTAGAATGAACCATATAAAATAAGATTAAAATCGGTAAATGCAGTGGGAATCAGTATAGAGATTTACGGAGATTACTCAACTCTTTTGATACCGTGAACTGATTTAAGTTAGATAACCATTGAAAACCTGAAAGGATTGGTTGACCGTTTCACTTAAGTATACGACTACTCAACATCACCTATTCAGAACTCTAGTGGAAGCCAGAATATGGAACTCTAGACTCATACACGAACAATTAATCATCAAATCACTTAGGCAACGTCCAGTGATGAACATATATGAGGCAGTTACCCACCGAAGACAATCGGAGTTGATCACCCAATATCTCTAACTGATTAAAATCAGACATACGCACCATCCGGTTCTGACTCACTGCCCGAACTCGAGTCTATAGGTCCTAGGTTTGATCCTCTTTGTGGAGTCGTAGAGGTTCACTGTAGACTAGTACCATGCCAAGACAAAATAGCTATATATATATGAATTGTCACTGCATAGAGTCAGATATTGTCATGAATACAAAGTGGAATAACTTTTGTACTTGTTTATAACATGTTTCATTAGAATATATCTATCCTTTTTTTTCATAAAATAAATTCAATCAATTCACCATTTTTTTTTACTACCAAAGTCAATATTATGTCTTATCTATTCACATGAAACGTCATACTCCTTTTTTTCCAACATCTTTCTGATTACAATTGTAATTGAGAAAGTATGTAAGTTTATATCTCTCTATGAATTTACTTTGTAAATATTGGCGGTTTCTAAGACATATATACATATGTATGTCTAGTATGGTGTGCTGATAAAGGAATAACTTAAACAGTGATATACTTATCTATTAAATGACAATGTAATGTTGATAGTCAAAGGCATGTTTGGGTTGCAAAAAAACATTTAGATATTTATTGAACATTAAGAAACATTGTGAAAACTGTTACGTAATGTTTTGTATAATGTTCCTCTGGAATAAATACTTAGTTATTTCTAAATTCCATTGAATTTCATAATCTATTCATTTGAAGTTGATTATCAACAAATACTAATGACGAATAGATGATTAGAAAACAAAAACATTTCTTTTTGAAGCTGTCATTCAGTTTATTTGTTAAGATAAGTGTTATCAGCATAAAGCATTGAAAATAGGTTAATTCCTTGAAATGTAATCTAAGAGAAGGTGATGAACACCTACTACTTTCTAAGCTTACTTACTTACTTAGTTAGTTACGGTTGTTCCTACTCGTGGAGGTGTATAGGTCACCCACCAGCATTCTACATCGAACTGTTTCTTGAACAATCCTTTCCAGATGTTTCCAGTTGCTAATCATCCTTTTAATGTCTGTTTCCAATTCCCGGTGCAGTGTTTTTCTTGGTCTTCTCCTGTTCCGTTTCTCATCAGGATTCTAAGTTAGCGTTTGCTTCGTGATGCAGTTTGTTGATTTCTGTAATATGTGTTCTATCCACCTCCATTGTCTTTTCCTAAGTTCCTCTTCAGCTGGAACCTGGTTTGTTCTCTCTCACAGTAGGCTGTTGCTGATGATATCCGGTCAACAGACAGTATATTACAAAGATAATCGTCTATAAATACTTATATCTTTTTAATGATCGTTGTGGTAGTTCTCGAAATTTCAGCTCCGTACAATAGAACTCACTGTTGTCACGTCCGTATTAAAGATTCTGACTTCGGTGTTGGCTGACAGTAGAAAACAACCTTGTCAAAAAAATACTAACCTGTTATGCTACCAGTCAAAATAGGGTAATGCGGGAAAACTATTTTCTCTAACTTCCTAAGGATTTCAATAACGACTATATGTCTCATGTGTAAATAAGTATCTTCATTCCACTTGCTTGCGTAACTTTGAATACTTTAAAAATTAGATCTACTCAATGAACTATTACATTGGAGTAGAGTGGTTGTAATGAATGTTTAACATTTTAATTATTTTTATAATCGTTGGTTTACTCCTCATATAAGCAATCATGGTTCATTCCTAATGGTTTGTCTTTGCCAGTTGTTCATGTTAAAGGCTGTCCCTGTTGCCATATGGGTGTGAACAGCTATGGATTACAAATATTACAACAACCCTAACTATACAATCAAAATAGCGATTTATTGGCTCTTGAAAGAATACCATGCGGTGTGACATTTCACTCAAATTAAAGGTGTTGAGAGTGTTAAATCTTCAAATATCAGATTCATTCATTGTTGAAGTGAACTGTGTTCATCGGCTTTAAATGTGTTTTCATCTATATCGAAGTGATTTTATCTTGTTTTTAGTTTATCTTTATTTTATAAATTAATACAGTGCGATTTTATGTTCAAGTGACGATGAATTAGTTCAATACATTTCATAATTAATAATCTTTGAAATTATAAATATGCAATTCTTCTGGGATCTTAACCAATAAATCTTCATTTAAAACTTCTCTCCCCTATTAACCATCCTTTAGGGAGAAGGTAACTGTTGAAAGGTTGTCTATTAATCATCCGATCTATTCGATAGTAATAAAAGAATTTATCAAACGTTCATAGAACAGAACTATGTAGACTTAAATCAATTTATAACAAAAGATGGTACAATCTAGTACAGGATTCTCAAAGTCTTACACATTAAACGATGATATTGAATTTACAAAAATAACCCAGAAACACACTCACTTATGTAATAGGTACAATTAATTACATTTTTCTTAATAATAAGGGTTTCTCAATTTACTTCATTCATTTTAGTATTCACCGGAAATAATCTTGAAAATGATGTAAGTGGTGATACATCTGGAGATTTTAAACATTTATGTATTGCATTATTACAAGCAAACAGAGATGAATCCATACATGTTGATCAACAACTTGCACGTAAAGATGCTGAAGCCCTGTATCAAGCAGGTGAGAAAAAATGGGGCACTGATGAATCAAAGTGAGTGTAAACTATTTAATATAGTTCAGTTCTATATAATGAAATCAGTTACAACTATAAATAATTTTAATTGTTTTGGTGAGTTTATCTATTCATATGGTAGCGGAGGAACATTATCATTAGCTAAATATGTTTAAATTATGACTTCGTTAAGCTGTTTAATTTAAACATAGCATGCAACATGTCTAAGCTCTAAATTTATTTCGTATTGTTTGTTTAAATCTTTCTATTGATGTTTAGGACTGCAAGAGATTAGTCTCAAATAGGACAAAACACGCGCCTCTGGCTGTACATAGATATATTTTATCTATAGTTGCATCGATACTAAAAGTTATCTTGAACATTTATTTATTAGTCTTTTAAAATTTTAAGTCACTAAACAATTTTTGTATTAAGTACATGTCTGTGTACTCGCCTCTGAGCCACACTCCAGTTGTTTGAGGGGTATTCGACCGGTTAAAGTAAATCAAGTGGAACAAGGGTGAAGTTTACAACTTATTGGGTAAAGATTTAGTATCTTCTAACTACTAAGTTATCACCAACAAACTAAAAGTTGGTATTTTCTACAGGTTCAATCATCTTATCATACCCAAAAAAGTTAATTATTGATTCCGGAATATTTTCCCGCTTGTAAATCAATTGAATTTATAAGCCTTTGTTTCCAAATAGCGAGGCCAAAAAGCTTTGACTAATTGGTTGAAACAATCGATTTTCAAACATTTGTTTGAAGAGTTGTACCCTATTCTAGCTAACAATTTGTGGATCCGAATGATATCACTGCTTTTTCAACAGAAATTAAATCTGAAACTAAATACGTATAACCTATAAATTGAAAGATATAGAAAGACGTTTCTTCATCATATATTTGAATTGTCAGGGATCAGTTGTAGATGCAATTTTATAAACAATGTCAGTTTTTGTGGACATATGAGTATTGAAATGTATTTCAAGTACTTGAGGTGGATCCTGCCCCAGTAATTTAGAAGGTAAGCAAATTCTACAGTCACGAAGGTCTTGTGTTTGACTCCTGAGGTGATGGACACACATTACTGAGTAATCTCATGCTAGAGTGAAGTAACAGTCCAAGTTCTACTGGTTTTCAGTGGTTGTCTAAGATTACTCTCTGATGTGTTTAGGTTTAAAGTGTGTTACGTTTTCTACTTACCGATAGTCCTTAGGTGATATTCGTTATGAATTAATGCAACTTTGTTTACTTTTGATCATTTTGTAAATAATAGATTTATTCAAGTTTTTGCTACACGATCTCCTGAACATTTAAAAGCCGTATGTCGAGAATATAGTAATTTTAGTAAAAAAACTTTGGAAGAAGCTTTGAAATCTGAAATGTCAGGAAGTTTACTACAATGTCTTTTGGCCATTGGTATGTCACTGTTTTATTCATTTTGTTAATCATATAATTAAAATCACAATAATAATCAGTTTAACATGTCGTTTTTAGCCTATAATTTACAGTCAGTTACCACTAAGATATGTCAGATTCACTTTTACAAATTGTGTCTGTCAAAGATATATTACATCGTTTGCATCACAAACTTAACTTAGTTGAACAATCATTGAAATCCAGGTAGCACTGGAATTTGTTCCTTTTTTCGATCATAGGTCCGTACTGTAGAAGAGTGTAATAATAGAATGTAACAGTTGTCTAATGCTTCCTGGTTTTGAGTTACCTAATTGGGTTACCTAATTGAGATCATTTCATAATTTAAACTATAACAATTAACAAACACTAAGTAAGGAGATGTCATAGATGTGAACATTTTGACTTGTTTTTCGTCTAGTACTTCTATTTATGTAGAGTTACTAATGAGCAAAGTTTTGTTTTGAATAACAGATAAAATTTTCAGATCAGAATTACAATGTCAGTTGTTTAGCTGTGATACTTTATCATCAACAAAATTAATACATATTTACCTGAAATATCTCTTATTTTAGAGTGTGTATTTGTAACAGGTATTATAATCATATGCCTGACACGTTTTAGATCAGTTAATCATAGATAATAACGATTATCACTTAAAGCATCAAACCATTCATTGTCTACTATTCTATTTCTTGTTTGAAAATGTGTTGTTATGGGAATCTGTTAAATATTTGATCAGAGAAAAATCTTGTAACTCAGTACTTGAGAGCTCTTAGATTTGAGCCTCAACTAAAATGTTAATGCTGAAATCTGATAAATGGTCTGGATCGAGTTACATATACTAGTTTTTACAATTGTCAGTTTCTTAAATTTGGTGAAATCTAGATTTATGGAGATTGTGGTACTTTCACAGTTGAATTCACGAATCAATCTAATGCTTTCACATTTGCAGTAGTGGTTTAGCTTAGATAGACTCGTGAATTCAACTGTTTAAATACTTCATAAATCTTGATCCTGATATTAATCATATGTTCACTAATGACTAGCTTCAAGATGGATTCCATGGAGTTGTTGTGAGAAAACGTGGTCAGTACAGTTCAATCCGTATTGGGTGGATACACTTATTCGATTTAGACAATGAATAAAGGATTGCGCAATCTATCGAAGTTAAACACTAGAGCCGTTGGATCCCGGTTCAGTGGTCTAGATGTTGGGCGTTCGCGCGCGAAGCTGAAAGTACTGGGTTTGAGACCTGCATATTGGATTGTAAATGCTCACTGCTAAAGAGTCCCATACTAGGAAAAAACACCATTCAGTTATAGTTTAGCTTAGATTAACTCGTGAACTAAACTATTAAGATCCAGATTTGTAGACCGATAATTATTTTACCAGATATTCAAATTCAGAGGATAAAATCTAAAATGAATGAACAATATGGTAGGGCAAAATTTTAATTGATTGAAGAATGGGTAACATACAAAATTGATTTCCTCTAAACGTGTATGACATTTAGTTAAAAACATGGTCAATAAATTAGTGACATTTTTGTGACCATAACAGCTTAATTTTATGATATTGTAAATTATGTTCATATATTTCATTATTGATTAATTCATACCTGGTGATACCAGATTTAATTTATTTGATAAATATAAATGAATCATATTGAAATCTATATGTTTAAATATCATTTTGGTTTTAATTTTTGTGCTAAACAACTTTTTATTTAACTGGTTGAAATCATGAGTTAATTGAATCTGGACTATCATGGAAAACCTGTAAGCACTAGACAACCGTTTCTCCCTAGTATAGGACTCCTCAGCAGTGCACATCCACGATACTGCATTCCGCGAGATTCGAGTCCCATATCAGGACGAAACGGCCGTCTAGTATTTCCAGGTTTTCCATGGTAGTCTAGCTTTAATTGACTCATGATTTCAACCAGTGAAATTTCTAAAAACTCCACAAAATCCCTTTTGATAAAATCTTTATTTATCAATTTCATCTTTCTTATTTTCGAGTTATACGAACCATGGTTTACTATTAGCAAATACCAAGTTTCATAGTTTATATCAATGTAATGTCCTTCGATTTCAGGTTTTCCATGATTATCTAGCTTTAATTGACTCATGAATTACACTTTACATTAGTCCATTTAATACCCTGACTGGGTTTTATATATTTTGTGTATCGATGTAAAATTTCATGGTCACACAATATTCTGAATTAATTGCAATTACAAATTGGAATTTCATTTGGATGACATTAAGGTTTTGTACAATAATTATAGAAAAATCTAATGATTTCGAGTTCAACCCAATGTACAATTGTACAATTGTAAATATGCACAGATGAGAAGTTTTGAATGAAAATAGTTTTTTAATTAATGTTAGTGAATGAATGAGAATAATCATGATTTCATACTGATAAATATTAGATTCTTTCTATTTTGGTGAATATTCATTTTGTTATCAGTAACGCGAGTTATACGAACCATGGTTTACTATTAGCAAATACCAAGTTTGATAGTTTATATCGATGTAATCACTATAGAAACTAATCAACCCTACATAGTGTGAAAATAATTTTTTTCTTTTTGTATTTTCAAATCATTTCACGTACTTTCAATAGATTTTACATTCATAAGAATTTTGTTTTGATAATAATTTATCATAAGAATTTAGTGATATTTCATTAACCTAAATGAATCACAGTAATAACCATTATTACACTTTGTATAGTTTGAAGTCTATTAATGAACTTTGGAATGTGATCTCAGAGTTCAATTTAACTCTCTCTCTCTCTCTCTCTCTCTCTATATATATATATATATATATATATATATATATATATATATATATATATGGTGTTTGGCAATCTTATTGGCCAGTGATAACACATAAATTCTATCAGTACAGTATTGTGAAGATTGTGAGTTTTGATTGAGATGATGAATTGATCAATGCTTCTAGGTTTTCAATAACGATCTAATTCTGATTGGTTCTTAATTAATCTAGTAAGTTATTCAGTATGAGTAGTAACATATTGACAATTCCTAAAGTCTATATAAAAGGTCTGTATAAAAAGTCTAAATTCTGATAATTGATTTCAAGAGAAAAATGATCAGAACGTAACATATCTTCAAAATTCAGATATAAAATCTAAGAGGATAATCTCACATTCCGATCTATACCAGAATACTTTAAAGTTTTAAAATGTTATTAGTTAATTAAAATTTTGACTGATGTTACTCGATCTTGATATTCGCATTTAGACTGAACAAATTTATACAAATCACCCAATAAAATAATCATGATGTGTTCACTAGCGGTTAATTAAAAGATGGATTTCTTGATGTTTTAGCAAGAAGCTTTGACTTTTGAAATGAGTCGAATTAAAACTGAAACATGTATGCCAATTAACATTGGATAGTATTCACCCTGTATTATAAATCGACTTGCGTTATAAACGTGAACTATAATATTTTATTCCAATGATCTAAAAGTATCATTTTTGTTATGACATTCAAAGATCCTTTGTTGAATCTCATGTGATGTCCTATGAACTAGAATAGCTTAATTGTTTGACATTTCATTATCCGTAATGATTTTAAGGTAGATATTACATAACGATAATAAAACTCTTTTATAATTAAACATTTGTTGTTATCAAAAAATAATTGAAATAATTACCAACATAACATTTTGAATAGATACACCATTTATTAAACTTGGTATTAAAGCAAAATAAGAAAAGATCATTCTAACAAAATGTTTTCTAACCCAAGTTCAAATATATTTTTTGTGTAGCTTATAAATAAAAATAAATTGGATGCCGGCTCAGTGGTCTAATTGGTTAAGCACCTGGTTCGAGACTGATAAGTCTTGGATTCGAATCTCATCGGGTGCGGGATCGTTGATGCGCACTACTGAGGAGTCCTATGTTAAGACAAAACGGTTGTCCAGTGCTTCCAAGTCTTCCATGGTCGTCTAGCTTCAATTGAATTATGATTTCAATCAGTGAAAATTCTAAAATCTCCATAAAACTCCTTATGATAAAAATAAATAAATAATTTCAAATCATATGATTGCGAAAATAAATCACTATTGAATTATTACGTAATAACAATCAATCGGTAGTTGTTTTTTACATCGAATTTATCATTCAGTTCCAAGTTAAGCGTTTTAATACGAGTTATTTAGTGATAGAAATAACTTCATGTATATCACGTAATAATAAATATTTATTCTAGTCTATTTTCTTTTTATGATTTATCAATGTGACATATTTATGAAATATGTAAAAGCTTAATAGCTAATTTAATCATGTTTTATCAAATGGATTAGTAACAAATACATCATCATAATAACAATTTGATTGTATGTTAGAGCTTTGAACAGTTACACTTTATCAAAAGAGGGTGGATGGTGACGCGATTTCATGGATTTGTTGAAGTTAGACCTGTTCAGTGGTCTTGAGGTTAGGTGTTCGCGCGCGAGATTGATAGCCCTTGGGTTCAAATCTCACGAAGAGGATCGCGGGTGCGCACTGTTTGAGAGTCCCATACTAGGACGAAACGGACGTTCAATGCTTCCAGGTTTTCCATGATGATCTAGCTTTAATTAAGTCATGAATTACACCTTGGATTAGTCCGTTTATTACCTTGACTAGGTTTTATATGTTTTGTGTACTGATGTAAAATTTCATGGTTACACAATATGCTGAATTAACTGCAATTACAAATTGGAATTTCATTTGAGTGACATTAAGGTTTTGTACAATAATTATAGAAAAATCTAATGATTTCGAGTTCAACCCAATGTACAATTGTACAATTGTAAATATGCACAGATGAGAAGTTTTGAATGAAAATAGATTTCTAATTGATGTTAGTGAATGAATGAGAATAATCATGATTTCATACTGATAAATATTAGACTCATTCTATTTTGGTGAATATTCATTTTGTTATCAAAAACAGGTTTTGTGAAGTTAGATCACCATTGAAATCTGGAAACACTGGACGACCGTTACGGTCTATCCTAAACAGCGTGCATCAACGGTCCTGTCCCGCGAGATTCCAACTCAGAACCTATCGGTGTCGCGCGCGAGTGCTGAACTTCTAGACCACTGAAATGTTTGGCATCCATCGGTATTATTGTCTATCTTCAACTAATCTATGAAATTGAGCCCCCGTCCATCATTGTCTTCAATGAGTTACTATATCACAACAGGCCCAGTTGAACTTCATTGGTTACCGCTTCTCACTAGAGCCCCAGGAAATACCTCTTGAAGCCAGTTCAGTGATCCCAGATTTTCCATGGTGGTCTAGCTTCAATGGACTGATGAACTCAACTATTAATTTCATTTTGAATCAAATTTAACAATACGTTTTTTTAAAACCTTTCAGTTCAGTGTGCAAATAACAAAGCATTATATTTTGCTGAAAGATTAAGAAAATCTATGAAAGGAGCTGGAACTAATGACAGAGATTTAATTCGTATTGTAGTGTCACGTTGTGAAATTGATTTGCATTTGATTAAGAGAGAATTTTACGATCTAGCTGGTAATTCCTTAGAAGCTTGGATTGAAGTAAGTTAAAAATAATTTATTACTGGTGACGTTATTGGAATTAAATATATGACTTCATATATATATGATTGTACTTCTAATAGTCAAGAACATATTGAGTGAAACCTTGACTAAGTGCTCGATCTAATTATTCTAATAGTGTTTACGATTTCCCACCTACCACCTGACCGTAGGATAAGATGCGAATACAGACATTTAATATAATTATATGGTAGTCCAGCCTATCAGTATCCTGAATAATATCTTATACAGTTAAATTATGTTCAGTGTATAGTCTGGAATAAATTTGTTACACTTTACGCCAACATCATTAGGAGATTAAATTAACAGACTGAAAATCAAAGAAGTGAAAATATTAGTATTAATGATAGTGAACTATTGAACACTGAAATATACGTCAAACCAACAAACAAAACTGGGTAATGAATTGGCTCATATATATTTTAAGTTACATTTGGTACAAATTACTTTTCAAGAATATGTGCTAAAAGACATTAATATGTAATAAAATAACAGTGTACTATTTTCAAAGTCAATAGGATATAAATGGTGTGACAGTGATTTCTATCCGATTTCAAATCTACCACAGTTTGTCATATTCTCTTATTTATTCGAAATATTGATTCTATCATTTCTAGTATATTTTGTATGTGATAAGTAGTGAAATTCAAGAACCACATTTCTCCCTATTCAGGATTAATCAGCCACATATACTTGTATTTCAGTTGTAGTATTCATACTGACATTCTAATCTAGGATTTTTCACTTCTAACCTCAAAATATTATCCTTTAAGCTATTAGGACAAGATGTTCATTAACTTGTTTTGTCATTCCCTGTTGTTAATGTGAAAGACTAATCAACTTCTATTTCCCTATTCTAATCCTTTTTTTATTATTATAAATTTTTTTCTATTGAACTATAGGATGATACCAGCGGAGATTATCGTGAATTGTTATTAGCACTTGTTCGTACAAATCTATAAATAACAAATATTGATCAGAATGAAAGTATTTGATGTTTAACATTATTACATAATATACTAAACTATTTTGCGCTACAAAATGTTATTACGTCTTAATTGATTAGTTTATTTGTTTTTGTTTTTTTGATTTTTAATATTGAATATTTGAATTTGTATAAACTTTTAAATACTATGCATGTCTAATTTTCTGAGAGGGTGGGGGAGCTTTCTTTGTTTACTCCACCTTTTCTTTCTACCTATCTTGTTACTATTTATCACTGTTACACGATATAAACGTCATATGAACTTCACTTTCTCGGACATTTTGATAAAAAAAATTCCAAAACACATAAAACAATACACATACGCAATTAATGAATATTTTTTTGTCCGTTTATTCGACGCTTATTCCATTGACCTTCATTTGTTATTGTTGTGTTTGTTTTTTTTTTTCTTCACGAATTTCATTAATGAAAATTGATCAATAAATCACTGCCATCCAACTTATACATATATACCCATATATAATTATTTTCAGTCATCGACCAATGAAATATTGAATGTGCTATTGATCTAGAGAAATAGTTTCCATTTGGAAACTAGCGTAATAATAATATCAAAGTGACGGATTAGTTGAATTTAGACATTAACACTGTTAAATGCCAATCAACTCAGTGGTCTAGTGGTTAAACGATCGCGCGAGAGGCTGATAGATCCTAGGTTCGAATCTCGCGAGACGGGATGGTGAATGCGCAATGCTGAGGAGTCCCACGATAGGACATAACGGCTATCCAATGATCCCAGCTTCAATTGACTCGTGATTTCAACTATAGAAATAAAATGGTCAATTAACTTTCCACATTCTTGAGCGTAAATCAAAAGAGTAATTCACATAGAGCAGTTTATGTATATATAATATAAATTTGACGGATGACCTGGAGGTGTGATAAAAACTACCATGAAAAGAAAATCCTACATATTATAAGTAGATAAAATATTCATGAATGCTCTTAAATAAATAATGGATTGTACTGTGTAGTTTATCAAGAAATCATTTATAATATTCACTAAATATGTCTAATTCATTTTTATGAACATACGACTTAATTATTGATCGTATTATGGAAATAAAAGATGTAATTTCGTTAGCTTCTAAAGTTTAACACATTTAGTGTAATTAGTATAATTAATTACTTATATTTCATCAAAATATAATAGTCGAATTCGTGAGTCGATTAAAGCTAGACCACCATGGAAAACCTGGAAGCACTAGATGGCCGTTTTGTCCTAGGATGGGACTCCCTAAAAGTGCGCATCCACGACCCTACTCGCGAGATTCGAACCCAGAACCTTCGATCACGCTCGCCACTGCTCAACCTCAATATTACTGAACTGGCCGGCATCTGACGGTGTTAATGTCTAACTTCAACCAATCCACGAAATCGAGCCAACGTCCACCATTGTCTTCAGTGAGACACTGGCTCAGAACAGACGAAAGGGCCGCACAGTGCTCCCAGGTTTTCTATGGTGGTTCAGCTTGGATTGACTCATAAATTGAGCTATTAAATTCCTACAATCTCCAATAAACCTCCTTATTGTATTAAAATCTACTTAACAGTAACTTAAGTTTACTAGTTTTTCAATCAGTTTGATTGATTTCATTATCTATTCTCATCAAAATTACGCAACTTTCCATAATATTGAGTACATAATAATCTCACATCATAACAAAGCACTTGAGATTTTATTAACAAACGAACACATTTTTTCACATGTCAGTCAATTAGATAATAGTTATTTTTTAATCAGTAAATTTGTTAAGTACAATGTCGTAGTTTGAACAATAAAATAAATGGAATGTAATAATACATAATTCAGATTCGAAACATTGAGCAATAACGGTGTACAATCTCTACCTCCTTAGAACCACATTAAGATACATTATTAAATACAAAACTGAGGAGTCTCACAATAAGAAGAAACTGTCGTTCAGTGCTGCTAGGTTTTTCATGATGGTTTAGCTTCATGATCTAGACTCATGATCTCGACCATTGAAAATACAAAACTGTTGTCCAATGTGTTTTTGTAGTTTACTTTATTGAGTTCATGAACTTCGGATATTTCTACGTTACTTAAAAAATTTATAAAATAATCCATAAATTGTAATTTTAATTCACAATAGATCTAATCATATAAAATCCATTTTTAAACTGTATCAAATGTGAACTCTAATTTAAATCTTTCAATTAAATATATTTGTACAGATTGAAATCATGAGTCAGTTGAAGCTAGACCACCATGGAAAACCTGGAATCACTGGACAGTCGTTTCGTCCTATTCTGCGACTCCTCAGCAGTTAGCACTTGCGACCCGGCACTCCGCGGGATTCGAACCCAGGATCTACTGGTTTCGCGCGCTAGCACTTAACCACTAGACCACTGAGCCAGCATCCAACGGTGTTAATGTCTAACTTCAACTAATTCACGAAGTTGAGCGGCAGGGGACGAGGTCGTGGATGCGTACTTCCATACTAGGAGGAAACGGCCGTCAAGTGCTTCCAGGTTTTCCATGGTGGTCTAGTTTCAACTGACTCATGATTTCAATCTGTTGAAATTTCTAAGAATCTCCACAAACCCCTTCTAATAAATCTATCTGTATTAAAAAAGCATGGGATTGGCTCATAAGATCGGTAGAAATAGTTTTTAAATCAGGATACATAATGAAAAAAAAAACACCTTGAATTTTGACCGTTATCACATTAATCAATAGACTAGGTTTGTTTATTAAGTTATTATTGATGAATTTTCCAGGGAAAATAATATTCAAGGTTACATTAACAAATCATATGGCAAAGATAAATGTTTTCTGGATGTGTCCTTAATAATAAAACATGTTTACTTTTCCTTATTTATTTATTAGATCACTTTTATATGTTCCAATCAGTTTAGAATAGATATATTATTAGTTTTGAAAATGGAATCATTTATTCTAGAATTTTTCCAAAACAAGAACAACTACTTAAGAGTAGTATACTAGTGTTTAAGCGTAAAATACATACAATACAGACGACATACTCTTGGAAGATATATCTATTGATTATCAACGAAACCTGAATATTTTAGTAACAATTTAATGTTATGATGTACCTTATGATTTAACCAATAATCGATTTTGTTCACTCCTTTAAATTTAAATCATTTGCTGACGAGGTCAGAATTAGGAAGAAATAGTTATTCAGTACTCTCTGATATTCAGTAATTTACTGACGGACATCAATCTGTGTATTTGTTTTTTACTATGGTGATAATTCTATTATTTTTTTTACTTAAATTTACTCTTTCCAACGAGTGGACATCGTATATTTATCAATGAAAAGTACATTATATAAGTATTGAATGAGACAAATTGTTCAGGATTTAATCGTTTATTTTTCGATTGAGATCATGAACCCATTGATATTAGACCACCATTATAAACCTGGAAACACTGGACGGTCGTTTAGCCCTGTTGTGGGACTCCTCAGCAGTAAGCATCTACGATCCCACTTGCGGCATTCAAACTCTGGGCCTTCGGTCTCGTGCGTGAATTCTTAAACTCTAGACCACAAATCCCGCACCTAACGGTGTTAATGTCTGACTTCAATCGATCCATGAATGGCTAAGCAACCATTCTATGGTAGATACCTGTCTCTACCCGAAAGGTCCTATACTAAAACGAAGCGGTTGTCCAGTGCTTCCAGGTTTTAAAGCATGGTTTACCTTATATCGACTCATGAATTCAACTATTAAAATTACTATATATTCGTTATATTAATCTATTCAGAGTAAATTCCGTTTATTGATTTGCATTTAGTATTCAGTATGTAGTTAATTATTTTACCTATAATGTATTTATTTTCGTACTTTTTTCAATTTATTATAATAAAAGTCAATTATTAATGATCCTTGAATGATTGACGTATAATTGAATAGGGTTAAATGCTAATTATCTTTTCTAGAATCTCTAACAAGAAAGCTCCTATACAAACTTGAACTTATCACATTAGTTAGTGGATAGTGATCATGACTTAAACTCAGTATCTATCATTTTAAACGTCAACATATTATTCACTAAGGTACTGAATATAGAAATTCACTGGATATCAGGTTTCACTATGAATATCAGCTCACTGAAGTAACAAATATATTTAAATATTGAATCTAAATAGAATGAAATGAGCATCCTGAATCTCATTACAAATCATATCTTAAATATACCATAAGTTCTTCATAATGCGTTTTTAAAAGAATGTTGTGAAATGCTTTTTTTGGTAAATACGCAATCATTTGTAATATTGATGATACAAACATCTAAACTACAAAAATTATGGGTATCAATATCAAGGTTGGACTTGAAAGCTTCAAATAAATTGAGCATTAGACAGTAAATAATAAATGTATTTTTTTATATCCCAATGAGTAGAATAATTGTATTTCTGACGTTTCGTGACTTAATGTAAACCACTTCTTCAGAGTAAAGAAACTAATTCTGTGATGATTTAAAAATGACATGATATACAAATATTTGTGATTTCATCCCTTATTATTATTATTATTTCGGTAGTCAGATTATTTCCCTTTAAACTTCAAAGGTACTTTGCAACTTCATTTTGTGTCTAACGTAAATCTGCAAGATAAGAAAGTGGTAATATAACAGCGTATAAATCAAAGCACTACTTGACATGAGGTTCAAAATATGACCAAATATATTTGGAAGAGCTTCAAAAACATACATTATTATGATTCATTTTTTTCTGAACTCGTCAGATAGGTATGTTGGCGAGACTACGATTTGTGAACGAACCAATCAGATTTAAGATAACAGGTCTTGGATTTTGACGCGAAATTCATTCACCCATTTGTTTAAATAGCATTTTGGCATCATAGCTGATTCCAGTTCGTGATAAAAACTCTAAATCTAATGCCTCACTCTAACTATCAACTATAAATCATAATCCTTATGCTTCAAACTGTTTTGTAACTCTCATTTAGCCTTAGTCAGTAGGTAAACATTCTCAAGGCCACTAAGACATCATTCAAAGGTCGGTTATAAATTATAGTCTCAGTGGTGTGTCTGTACCTTAATGTTGATAATCACACGTGGAATCGAACATAACCAATTGGATCGAGGTAAATCCAGTTAATGAGTTTCAGTTAAAGAGAAACGCCTGTCTTGAATTCCATTACTATCCATAGTCCCTTCATTGTATTTTATGAAAAAAAATCATTATAGTTAAAAATTCAAGGCGATACTATTTTATTGTTGTTTTCATATCAACTGTATGTTTTAGTCACATGTCAATCATTAACAGCTGACTAAGAGAATTCAGTAAAAAGTATATTGATCGTTAAATCTTTTATGACGTTACAGTTGATAAAATTGTATCAAATCAAGTGACAGTAACTAAATAGTTTATTTTTCTTAGTTAAAACATTTGAAGCTAAATGAAGTTGCGTTTATTAAATCAGTCACATTGCAGATAA